CTATTTGAGGCCAAGGAAGATCAGGTAAAATTTAACATGTTGAGCACAGACATGAGTGCAAATCTTAAATATATAAGCATCTTCAAGGAGATCTAGAGGTCAGAGCATTGTTTTTAACTATGAGAGTCACTGATGTATAAATTCTGCCTAAAGTCAGGGACTTGGGATTCTAATCTGGAAGGGTGAAAGCCCATGTGGCACAAGTTTCTGCTAGATGATATGGGTTTGTCTTCTACCAGAGAGTGGGTGTCTGTGTGTGGGACTTGGCATGTGGATGTGACTGCAGGAAGGAGGCTGGGCAGGAATAGGCTGGGAATGTGACTGCAGGAAGGAGGCTGGGCATGACTCTGGGCAGTTGGCACTCTGGGCTGTGAGGGAGGAGTGGCCAGGAGATGAGAAAGAGCCACCAGGTCAGGGAGAAGAGGGGCTCAGGAGTGACTGTCACTAGCCTTGAAACTGTTTCTGAATTGTGAGCTGAAATAAACTTTTTATAAAACATAAACGATAAAATAAGGAGGCATTGAAGTGTCAAGTAAAAACACCACAATCTGTCCAGTATTCCAGCCACATGGGGACACGAATGATGTGAAATCCTGGGTTAGCATAAGCATCTGTGTGGTCTCACATGCAACACTAGGACTGCAGGCCAGCTGTATGCTACCACCCTGGGTGGGTAATGAAGTAGCTTCCCAAGAGTGAAAGCTGGGAGGCCATGCTAAGCAGCAGGAGGAGCCTGGCCTACGTTAGGAGATCATCACTAGCCCTGGCCACCCTTCCTAAGGGCTCCTGCCTTCTCCCTCCACACAGGAAGCTCAGGGCCACCCTGTCTCTTAGGAGTCTGTGTCTGGAGTGGGTCTTCACAGGACCTGTGTGACCTCAGAGGCCTGGACCTGTAGTTGGGTCCCATGGGCAGCACGAGGGGGGCCCAGTAGAAGATGAGCTTGGCTCTAGGAGCCATGCTTGGAGCCTGCAGCCTCCTCTGAGAGAATATGTCCCTCCTGTCCCTGGGGAACCGGTGTCAAATGAGCAGCACACAGGACTACTTTTTGAAATTCTGCTAATTCCAACATGGCTCTATATGAATCCACTAATAAAAAAGACAGAGAAACATGCAGTATGAGCTCCATTTCCAAATGCTACCAAGGAAAAGCAAGAGGCTGACAACCACGAGGGCAAGACAGCAAGCTCCACTAAAGATGTGGAGAAGGGCTGTGCCAGGGCCTCTAGCATGCCCGTGATGTTCTCCTTGGTCTGGGCTGCCGCACCATGGTGCTGGCTTTATAATCACTTGCTAACCTGTACACAGTGTGAGACACAGCATAACTAATACAAGCGTGCAGTGGGTATCAGTGCCCTTGCAGGCCCTGCACTGGTGCCTGGGGACAGCAGAGACAGGTGAGGGTTTGTGTCATGCCAGAGAGGGGACTGAGAAACCCAGAAGATGTTACTTAATTTTAATGTCATGAAAAGAATTCTAAGGCAGAAGAGATGAGATCAGGACCAAGTGCTGAGGAAAGGCAGTAGCTGAAGATCCAGGAGGATGAGAAACTGCTGGACAGAAATCTACTCTTGACCCACAGCACCAGGAGGTACAAGTGTTGTTTTTAGCACAGCCACATCAGGTGACCATATCACAAGAAGTCTGCAAGCAATCAAACTGCATGTGCACGCGTGTGTGCCTCTGCCTAGCGTCATCCATGTGTTCACACAGTGATTCCAGCACCTCCCAGGTGTAGCCAGGGCTGCCCTTTGCATTCAGCCCTTGCTCCATCCACTTCCACTCCTGGCGGCTGCTTATCCGTTATCCTTCCTAACAGCCTGGCTTTCCCAGCATGCCCCAAGTGGAACTTGAATGGAGATGCACACCAGCTCCAAGAGAAGCATCTGCGTTTGTGTGCTGTCGTTTCTCTTCATCCTGAGCAGCGGTCCCTCGCAGGTAGACTGTTTGCTCACCCCTCTTCCCATGGAGGGGCATTTGTACTGTTTCCAGGCTTGGGTGACTGCAAGTGAAAACAGCACCAGCCCTGCACGGCGACCAGCGAGCGCATTCTGCTTCACAAGAAGCTGCTGCCACTTCCAGAGGGGCATGCGATCTCCTACCACCACAGGCAGCCTACTAGAGTTCTAGCTGCCCAGACTTGCTAGCGGGTTGCTGGGAATTTTAATTCTATCTATGAGAATAAATAAGCTGCAGTGTCTCACTACAGATTAAAACTGAATTTCATTAGTGAGCAGTATTATTGCACCTTTTCTCATGTTCATGACATTGGTGTATCTTTGATAAAATGTTAAAAAAAACAAAACAAAACAAACAAACAAACAAACAAACAAAAAAAAAACACCGGGTGCTGACTTTTATTTAGGTTTTCTTTCTTTCTTTTTTGCAGTACTGGGGATTGAACTCAGGACCTCGCGCTTGCCAGGCAAGCATTTATTCTACTGAGTTATCTCCCTGGCCCTTATGTTGCTTTCTTGGCTAGTTTCCAGAGCTCTCTACACATTCTGGATGTTAAGTCCTTAGCCAGACATGAGATCTGCAATTATAAGGAATATGACTAGTCTTCTTTTACAGCATCTGAGTACAATTATTCAATTTTGGTAAGCCTAATTGATCAGCAGTGGTCCGTTAGAGCGCATGCCTTTGCTGCCACGCCACAGGGCTCCATAAGCCAAGGCCATGGCTTTTCTCCAGTGTTCCCGGTGAAGAGCTGGGTGCACTTAGCCTTGATTTGTTCTGAGGAACCAGCTGTACACTGAGCATGGCACAGGTCAAGGTTCCTTGCTTTGCTTGTGCAAGTCCTGCAGAAAGGACTAATTTCTCCAAGGAATCACCCGTGCCAGACCCACACACCATACTTTGTGGCCACGTTTTCAGAGTCTCCCCTCACCACCAACCCCATAATGTCGTGGCTGCCATATTCAGAGGATGCAACATCTGTCTGTACCTTCGGAGAAGACCACTCAGAAGTAGACTGAGGAAGTGCTGCCCCCGTGAGCACTGTGGGGCATTAGGGCTCTGCACTGTGGTCTTCAGTCCACAGACAGTGTGTGCTCTATGTGTGGCTGGTTGTTTTTTAATTGTGCTGTACAGATTTTAGCATGCCGGCCCTGCACATGCCATTCCAGACTTATGACAGCAGACGTTTTAGCCTGACAACCTGTCAAGCCCAGGGACTAGCCCTGAGTTCCCCAGGCGATGTGTCGGTTGTGCTGCACGTGATGTTTCTTCCTCTCGAATCTCAGTTGGCTTCTCCTCACCCTGCTGTGCACATACTTGTCAATCCAGTGTACAGCACACGGGGTGATCTCCCCAGGATGGAGTCTGGCCTGGATGCGACCACTCCAGCCCAGCGTCTCCAGCTGCCCACTCTGTCGTCTCCTATGACTCCCTGCAATTTTACTGTGACCTAAACTTGCATGCAGTTCTGTTTCCATGTGTAGCTAGTGGGACAGCTTCCCAAATCAATAGTAATTGCTATGTTCTCTTGTCTGCACTCTCAGGCTGCTTGGCATTCTGCTGCGCAGAGAAGACTGAGGACAGAATCCAGCCTAGATGCACACCTTCATGATAGAGAGAGGACTCTGAAACCAAACGCAGGAGAGAGGACTAGGACTGTCAGAGACACTCTGGGAAGAAACCATGAGTCCATTCACTGAAGCTGGCTATAAACTGTGTCGCATACAAATGAACACAAAGCAGTGCTAAAACATAATTAGGTAAATGGTCCCAGCTGCCTCCAATGCAAACAGTAACTTCGCTTAGGATTTCAAGATTTCACATTTCGTGACTTTAAATCCCTTATAATCAAGCTGCAGCATTACATTATGACATGGGAAAAAGACTAGAGCCAGTCTTACGAGTACATCTATACTCTGTTTGCATTTGCATGGGGTAATTCTGCTGTTTTAAAGAACACAGAATAAACACAATACGTTGCGTGGCAGGTGCAGGAGGCGGAAAGTTGTATTAAGCAACACGTTACGATTCACCCATCAGAGTGGTGCTGCAGACTGATCGGAGATGGAGGGTCAAAGTCAGAACACAAAGATAACAGACTGCCTAGTTTTCATAACTTATGAATGGTGATGTGTTTTTAAAAGTATCTTCAACGCACAGAAATAAGGACAAATGATGTTATGGGTAGACATGTACAGGACAAAACATACACAAATGGGAATAAACGTACAAGTTTCATCCTAAGTAAATCCATCTGTAAAAACATTCACTGGATTCTTTTCTTTTTTTGGTGGAACCAGGGATTGAACTCAGGCCCTTGTGCTTGCCAGGGAAGCACTTATTCCACTGAGCCATCTCTCCAGCACCCCCTCCCCTTTTTGTGGAACTGGGGATCGAACTCAGGCCCTTGGCACATGCCAGGGAAGCGCTTACTCTACTGAGCCATCTCCCCGACCAAATCACTGGATTCTTTCAGCTTTTTAAGCATCAGTAGCAATGGTCACATTATTTCTTGGTAAAACATAAAGCAACATTCAGTTGAGTGTGAGGAAACACACTTGGAGGTCTCCAGTCCAAGTCGGCTCTGACCCCCTTTATACCTGTAGCATCTGAGGTCCTGCTTCAAGGCTTTACCCTCTTCTACCCAGAGGGACCCTGCTCCTTGTGGGGCATGAACCCCTGGTGCCTTCCTTCAGGGAACTCCACCACCCAGGGTCAGGCACAGGCTACCCACTCAGAAGAGCACCCAGGATTCAGGGGGACCTCACCACCCAGGGTCAGGCACAGGCTACCCACTCAGAAGAGCACCCAGGACTCAGGGGCCCCACTGTCCAGGGTCAGGCACAGGCTTGCCCACTCAGGGCAGCACCCACCCAGGATTCAGGGGGACCTCACCACCCAGGGTCAGGCACAGGCTACCCACTCAGAAGAGCACCCAGGATTCAGGGGGACCTCACCACCCAGGGTCAGGCACAGTCTTACCCACTCAGAAGAGCACCCAGAACTCAGGGACCCCACCATCCAGGGTCAGAGACAGGCTTACCCACTCATAGGAGAGCACCCAGCAGCCACGCGCAATCCCCAGCAGCACGTTCAGTGTGCGCAGCGGCTTCCCAGCCAGCACATGTGTGGTTGTGTCACAAACTTCAGGCGCCAAGGAGAAGCCCTTTAGGGTATCCACCACCTGCATGACGATGCTCTGCTTCCTAGCAGGAGAAAAAGAACACAAAAACCTTGACGAGTGTGACTGCTGCTCATCAACATCAAGGAGAGCAATAAACATCTGGACAGTGAACTTTCACATTGGCTTTGATCAATGCTCGTGCCCTCATTCCTTAATAAGGTCGCATAACATGAAATCCAGGGAAATTGAAAACCCTGCACATCTGAACGGGAACTTGGCTGAGGAAACAGGCTTGAGGCTGTAAGTGGCTCCCCCAGTGACACAGCAGGAGCCAGGCCCCGTCCATGTGTGCCCTCCGGTCCACTCGAGCTTCTCTCTGCCCATGTACCTTGGAACCAACCTGTGTGGTCTGGACCGGAGTTCTTATTTACTTACTTTATTTAGAAAATACATTTTTAAGTGTCACACATAGTTTTCTATGATAACAGAAAAAGAACCTTTTTATTAGACTTTTGTATCAAATCTTAGGGCAAATTTGATGGTGGTACTGGATTCATTTTAAAGTTCATTATTTTTTCCCTTCTGGTCTGTCACTCTCATAATGCTGCATGGACCTTTTGCTTGGTGCTTTAAGTAGTCTTTCTAGCTAACATCCTTTCTAAGCAGCTCTCGGTTCTCCTCACTTCCCTTAGCAGCAGCTTTTCCAATAGCTCCAGTTTTATTTCTTTGCATCACACTCTTCCCTGTGAGGTCTGGAGATCCCAAGAGAAACCAAAGGATGTGCAAGGCCATTTAGGCTGCACTGTGCCTGGTGTAGTCAGGGAGCTGAGAACTGCAGCTCTGCTCTGTGCGTTGTTATTCACTATTCCGAGAGGACAGAGGCTGTGACTGTCCCTTCTTGACCCCGCTGCCTCAGGGCTCTTCCTCCGCCTCACAGGCCTCGAGGTCTTATCTCCAGGGCTTGATCTGCCTGTGAGACCCAGGGTGAAACCATATCCCACTGTCTGATTCTTAGAGCTCTGCAGGATGGAGAAGATGAGCGAAAACAGTCAAGAGCTGGCCCTATCCCAGCTTGAACTGAGAAGCTGTGCTTATCATCATCATGAAAAGGTTTAGGAAAAAATAAATACAAAAAGGACAAAAGAAACCTAATCAAAAGCAAAAAGGAGTAAAAATTTATAAACTAGATAGATCTCTAGAGCACTTCAATGTGGATACAGACTTCTTCAGGTCTGCAGTGGCCAACAATTATGACGTCACAAGTAACAGTGTCTCCTGTAGACATGATCCCTCAACGCAGGGTCGTAACGTCCACATCTTGTTCTTAAGATGCACAAGAAATCGAAGATAAAAACAAAAACAAAAACAAAACAAAACAAAAAAAACCCCAAATCAGCAACAAGAATATGGCCTGAAGGAAAAGGTTCATTTTTAAAACCTTTAAGGAGAAAATAATTATTGTTTGTTTTTAAGGTCCAAATATGAATTTTTAAAAAAAACTATTATGCACAAATTCAACCCTAATTTCTTTCTTTCTGGTTTTTTTTTTGTTTGTTTGTTTTTACTTTTAGTACCAGGGATCAAACCCAGGATCTCGCGCTGGCAAGGCAGGCTCTTAAGCCGTGATTTTGGTATGAGACTAATAAAATGTTCCATCTACCTCACAGCACGCACCCAACATCCTTCATACACTGCTCTCTGTCTATGCCTCATGTGCAGCATGCAGTTAAGCTCGAATCTTTTCATTTCTGTGCCACAGGCAGGAAAAGGACCTTGACACAGAGCGGCCATGGCACTCTTCCTGCAGCGCAGCGCACTTTCACTCCACGGTCCCAGGGTTTTGATGAATGTATGAAAACTTCAAAACCTATGATTGATATAAAAAGTATGGTTTTCTCCTTTAACAAGCATTCAAAAATCTGTTACAAAGACGCTGGCCCTCTGTTTTTGTTGGACGCTGTCTGCTGCGCTCAATGTGTGAGAGAGATAAGCGCAGGCCAGCAACAGTTAACCCTTCCGCACGACGCAGACGGTGCCTTCAGTGTGTGTGGAGAGCCTCCCGCCACTGCGTTCTTTAAGATCTTCAAGGAAAATGTTTTGGCTGACTTTCTGCATGTTGAGTATCTATGGAGTGAGGGTGGACAAGCAAAGCCATTATGAATTAAACTCACTCAGGCCCCAGATCTGGGTGGCTGGGTGCAGAACCTGTTAATGCCGCGTAAATAAAATGCTGCACGCACTAGACCGCATACGTGGAGCCATGACTTCTCATGCACATGTCAGTCCCCGGCTGAAAATGACAGAGTGCAGATCTGTGACTGCTGAGAAGGAACCTCAGGCTGTAGGAGCAAAGGTTGAGCTTCCCATGGAAGACAGCATTAGCAAAACAGCCAGCACTTACTCTGATGGCATGCTCGTCATGACTAATGTTCGTGTGGGCTCAGACTGCAAGAGAAGGAACAGAAAACAGTCAGAAATATAAAAAGAAACTTTCCCACAGAAATAAACCTTAGTAAGTTTTTTTTTTTAACGTTGCATCATTTAAAAATCAACATTTAGGCATATATCAAAGAAAAAAAACCTTTTTATTCCCAGAAAAAGTAGTCTAAGAGACAGAAATTTAGAGGCTATTCCAAAACCAACTTGGTACTGGAGGTGCGAGGCAGAACAGCACAGCTCCCCTGCCTGCTCCTCAGTCAGCCAGCAATCTCCCTTTTCTCCACCGAGCAGGGGGTTGGGCTGTCCCCACAGCTTTTGGGGCCTAAGTGCCCAGCAAGTCCAATCACACAAAAGCCCAGACCTCTATTCGGGTGCTGGCACCTGCTATTACGCAGAACTGTGCAGTTTCTTAAGAGACTTAGTAAGAAATGTACTCTAAATGCAAAAATGTGAATGCTATTGAAGTATATATATAATTAGAAATATGCATACCAATGCTCTGTAATTCCATTGGCTAGAAGGGACTGTTCTTTAAGGATTTGGTAATATGTTCAGCCTAATGTACATTCACTGGGTGTGTGTGTAAGTAAATGATTTGCACGACTTATGCACATCTGTAGTTCTTAAGGGAACTTCGAGGCAGCCAGCTGCTCCATGTGAGTGCCTCGCCCTGCACACGCACTCACACTGAATGGGTAACATGCACAGAACTGGAAGAACTAAAGGTGCCAAAGGACAGCAGGCTGGCAAAATGTCACGGACTCAAAGGGGAAGGCGAAAAAAGAAGAGTGAAGAAGGCACATGAATCAAAAAGACATTCAGGGAGCACTCTGAGCTGGGTGCGTAGTTCCCAGCATGTATAGTTCCCAGCACTCAGAAGGCGGAGGCAGGACATTGCCCACTTTGAGAATAGCCTGGACTGCACAGCTAGAACTGTCTCAAAAAAGGCGCAACTCTACAGAGTGACGGCTAACCCAGCAGCTGCCTGCCTGTGTAACCATGCTCTGCAACACCGGCTGCTGGCTCTCCTGTGTTTCTGACACCAAACGTGCAGCAACTCAGCAAGCTCCTACGCGAGTCCCTGGGAGCAGCTGAGGCCCACACTGAGCCCACCCTTTCCCCCAGGCCCTCCTGCATAGAGACCCTGCAGGCCCAGGTGGCTCTGTGGAGTCAGCTTGAAGAAGCCTGTGGGGCTCCCCTGTGGGGCGCTGCTCCACTGGAGCCACAGGGGGAGAAGGAAAGCATCCAACCCCTCCACCCTGGGCCCAAGGCCAGGCTACTCCCAGGTCCCTCCACCAGCACTGCTGTTCCCTGTGCACATGTCTGCTCCTCAGGGGCCTCACTCTTCCTACTTCAGCCCTGGGTATCTCCTCGACTCCAACCTCCATGGTTCCACCTACTGGATACCTCCATTTGGAGTCTAATCAGTGTCTCAAATTTAACTTGACCTAGAAATGAAGAAGTAAAACTACACTCACAGAGATGACTGCATTTTTAAATTATTTTATTAAAAAACTACTAATCTCACCAGAACTGCAATATACAGAGTCAGTACACAAAAGTCAGCTGTATAGCTACAAATTAATGATGAATCTGAAAAGGAAATGAAAACAAGTCTACTTATAAGAGCATCAAAAAAGAGTACACTACTTAACAATGCATTTGCAAGAGTTACGCATAAAAGTAAAGAGAAGTTGCTGAAACATATTACACATGACCCACATAAGCAGAAATGCATCCCATTTTCATGCCTTGAAAGACTTAATATTGTTAAGATGTCAAAACTTCCCCAGGCAATGCACAGACTGAACACAAACTCCATCAAAATTTTAGTGGTGCTTTTTTCCTTTTCTTGTTCTTGCAGGAATGGAAAAATCCACCCCCAAGTTCATACAGAATTCCAAGGAATCTTGAATAGTAAAACAATTCTGAAGGGGAATAACAAGATTGGAGGACTTGTAATTCCCACTTGTAAAGATTACTGCAACACTATATAATCAACACTATGTGGTACTGGCGCAGGGATAGATGGGCAAAAGAAGAGAATGGAATGGAATTAAAAGTTTGGAAATAATCTCTTGCGTCTACGGTCCATTGTTTTGATGAGGATGCCAAGACTGTTGGATGTGTAAAGAACACTGTCTTCAGCAAAGGATGATGCAAAAACCAATGTCCACATGGAAAGAATGAAGCTGGACCTTTACCGTATCCACATATAAAAGTTAACTCAAAACAGAACAAATACCTGAATTTAAGGGTGCAAACTATAGAACTCTTAGCAGAAAAAAGGCAATGGTTCCTTCAACATGGCAAAAAAGAAAAAAAAAAAAAACCCAAGTAATAAAAAACATAGCTATATTGAAAACAGTAGCAATGTCATCAACACTATAAGGAAAATGAAGACAGTCTACAGAATGGCATGTTTGCCACTGCATATCTGAGATGTGCTTAACATTCATAATGTCTAAAAACTCCTATGACTTAATAAAAAATCAAAATTAAAAAGTAAGCAAATAAAAGAAAAAGGGAAGATAGCAAGCAAATAATTTGATAAACATTTCTCCAGAGGAAATAAGCAATGAGCACTAAGCAAGCACCAGAAGACGCCCACACTGCTAGCACCTAGGGGACTTCCTGTCAAAGCCTCAGTGTGAGAATCCTGTCTACCTCCTAGTTGATTACTTAGAAGTAGACAGGCAGGATGGAAGGCACTAGCGTGGGCGGATGTGGAGTAGCCGGAAGCCAGGCACACTGGCCTAGCGCAGATGGAATGCTCTGCCCTCACCCAGTTACTTGTGTATTCATTTTCTAGTATTTTATTCTTTTGTACTGGAGATGGGATCTGGGGCTTTCAGCTAGGACTAGAGGTGTGCACTGTCACATCGGCCCACTGCCTCTTTCAGGTCTTGCCTCTCACTGTGGTCGCATTGAAGACAGGATTTTCAACACATGAAACTTAGGGACACATTCAAAGCACAGCATAATCAGTGCCACCCACAGAGGAATAACTACGTGGACAGTTGCTAGAATGAGCAGGAGTAGAGGTCTGCCCCCACACATGCTGGACTATGAGGGAAGCCAAGACTACCATGGTACGACTCCGCTCCCCGAGACCCTCAGCCTGGCCCTCACCTGAGACTGGTTAGGAGTGGTTAGGGGCCTCAGGCCGGGCACACAGGGGCATGTGGACCTGAGAACTGGCTGTGCACTTCAGAGCCCCAGCTGGGGCTGAGGGAAAAGGCTGGAAAACAGCCAGTGGCCATGGCTGCACAGCACTGAGAGCACACTTGACACCGCACCATAGGGTTAAAACGGTTGAAATGGCAGCGTTTGTTGTGCATGTCATCGTGGTCAAAGAAAACAAAGCATGGCTCTTCCTCCCAGCCTGCTCCTTCAGGGCCTCACTGGGGAAGGCAGCTCTGCTCTCATCAGATGGAGTGCCACTTTCCTCACTGCTGGCTGGCTGTCCTCTCATTCTACACATGACCAAGGACATACCCTGGCTTACTTTTCCTTTTGATGAGACAAAATACCTGACACTCACAGTTAACAGGTGTAGGTTCGTTTGGCTCAGTTTGTGGACGTTTCAGTCCATAACAGGCTGGCTCCAAGGCATGGTGGCACAGGGCAGAGGGGCAACTGTTCATGGTGGACAGAGGTAGAAAAGCAACAAGGAAAGACAGTAAAAGCAACAGGACATGGGGAGAGAGGGAAAGGGCAGGCTTCCTTTTGTCCTTTATATTGTATGCAGGCTACCTGCTCCAGGGTGGATGCAGCAGTCACACACTCCATCACATATCAACCACAAACTTTGGATTCAGCAACCCCCCAAAAACCTCTATGACCCTGTGAAGCTTTGGGGAACATCTAGACCCAAACCATAGCACCCCCATACTAAGCCTCTGTCCTCTTGGTCGTCGCAGGGCCCGCGACACCCCCTACTCAGCTTGGCAGGCTGAGCCTGAGTGTGAGTGTCCCTCTCCACCCTCCAACACGCAGGGCCAGAGTCTGCTCCTGCAGGACCGAGGTGCGCCATCAAGCCTCTCTGCTACCGGCATGTCCTGGGTCGGCTTCTCCTCAGCACTGATCACACCATGTGTTTTGTTTATTCCTCTTCATTACTGTCTAGCCTTGCCCCCCTCAGAAACAGTGAGTCCACAAACACAGGAACTGTTTCCTACTCTCTCCCCAGCACCTGGAACGGGGCCGGGTGGAAAATAAGAAGACACTTGCTAGCTATTCATTGTAAGTGGATCAATACAAAATAGGGAATAAAAGTTGATGTCTGCTGATCCATCTTTACATATACTTTATACATACATAGCTCTCATGTCATCTATTAAGCTAGGCTCTGAACTGCCACACTCATCAACATGGTCCAAGCTGGAGAACCACACCACGATTCGTGTCAGTGCCGTGCAAAAGGCAGATCCCAAGTCCATCTGAAGCCTGCTCCACGTCCAGCCAGGTAGGAGGAGGGGCACTCTGGACCCAAAGTGGAAAGAAGAAATAGTCAGAAGCAAGAAAAGAGCTAGTGCTGCGCAGCTACATCCTATGACCGGCAGGTGTCTTATAAGGAATCTGAGAACTCAAGCTTCGCGCACACAACCCAGCTGCAGAGCCCACAAGAGGTGAGTGCTACCCATGGGCACAGGGTGCCAGCTGATGCCAGTGCGGAAGGCGCAGGTGAAAGCCGTGGGACAGAAGGGCCGTGGCCTGCAATACAAAGTGATCTACAATACGATTAAGTACTGTGCTTACTGATTGTGCAAGGGAGGGATATGAAAATACATCTGTGTAATTCTTGATTAATCAAAGGAGCGCCTAAGAATACGGCAGGTACTGCTATCTGTGGCTACTTGGAAATGAATTTTAAAGTGACGGATGGAGAATGGATGGACACATGCTACAGTTAACACAGTCAAGAAGGTGAACTCGTAAGATGAGGCTGGAAAGGCAAAGCGCCCGCTTCACACTGGCTCCCTCACGTCCTCTGCAGTGAGGCC